CCTTAAAAGTCTATCGATAACGTCGCCTACTGTAGTTGTATACATCATGAATCTTTCTTTCTCTCCAGCAAGAAGTAAACGGAATATACAAAGTTTAAGAATTATTTTTATTGTTAAAATGATTTTTTTTTTAAAAAAATTATAGTGGAGAGTATCCAAATCCATTTGAAAAATGGTGCCTTTCTGTATATATTTTGAATATGTAAATGATATAAAATTGGGGTTTTTGAGTCAGAAACTTCAACCTGCTTATCCAAAGAATAACGAAACCCTATGCAAAAAAAATCAAAAAAATCAAAAAAAAAAAAAAAACGGGGGGAATATACAAAGTTTAAGAATTATTTTTATTGTTAAAATGATTTTTTTTTTAAAAAAATTATAGTGGAGAGTATCCAAATCCATTTGAAAAATGGTGCCTTTCTGTATATATTTTGAATATGTAAATGATATAAAATTGGGGTTTTTGAGTCAGAAACTTCAACCTGCTTATCCAAAGAATAACGAAACCCTATGCAAAAAAAATCAAAAAAATCAAAAAAAAAAAAAAAACGTGGGGAGATGCTTTACCTCGTGTGGTTGATGGAGAGAGGTTGCCGAAATCCGTTCTATTTAGGGTTCTTATGTGAATGAGAAGATATGAGTCTTTTAGCTGTAATCCACTGTGTGTGTATCTGAGGAAATATATATTTCCATAAATAACGTTTCATACCTTAAAATAAAAGGTAGAAATTAACACGATATATACAGGCTGTAGGCAACTCTCACATGCTTCTGTTGAGATTCTTAGGATCTGGACGGATTCTGGCTCCACCAATTCTTTTCACACAAAAAATGGTAGGAAGGCGAAAAGTTTAGAAAAGAAAGAGGACAGAAGTAGTAAAAAACTAAAAGAAAATTCAGACGGTGAACTTAGCAATAAAAAAGATACATGTGCTATTATATAATGAAAATACTAATACAGATGCCGTTCTTGGGCCAGTAACATTGAATTATAGAGGTCCATATACATAACTGCACGCGGCAACGTCTCCCTACTCATGGGCATGGGCCGGGCCGGTTCAGGCCCGTGAACCAGCCTGTCAGGTTCAAAATCAGTCCGAGTCTGACTTGGGTCCGTGCGGATTCAGATTGGGTTGCGCCCATGGGGGTCAGAATGTGTTGAGCTTGCCTCTTTGACCTCGGGGCTGAGATCGGAACCTACTC